AGGCAGTATCACTACAGAAGTAGGATTGCCCAACCTTCCTTCCGAGGAGTGGCTGGTGGGTTTGAACCGCCAGCTGTCTGGTTAGCAGGCAAGTGCCTTAGCCACTATGCTTTTGATATTAGTACAGCTAATTCAGTTTTCTTATGGCTGTTTGCGTAATATATCCTTTTCTACTCTTTCACTTTCAATCTTTTATATCTTTGACTCTAAAGTATGTCTTCTGCAGATAGCATATAACTGGATTTGTTTTGATACCCGATCTGACAACCTCTGACTTTTAACTGGATTGTTTAATCCATTCATATTTAATATTATTATAGATAGGGCTAGATTTACTCTGCCATTTTACTTTTTGAGTTCTATACAGGCAATACCCGGGTTACAAACATCCGTTTTATGGACAACAATTACTTGCCCTTTAAGCAGGGCTTCAAACCAATTCAAACCAATTCTATTATGACCAACAAAGCAAAACAAGAACAGATTTATTTTTACAAATTTGGTGATTCATCATGGTAACTAGAACAGGAAAAACTATAGGTCAACACTCTGGAAATGAGGGACTCAGAAGAGGCATAGTGAGCTCTTTCATCAGTGACCCTGATGCATGAGATTTGTTTATTGGCAGGACTGTGCAAAACCACACACATTCAAAGTGGCACAGTCGTCCACCATCTTTGAGTGAGGTCCTGTCATCTTTGAATGGGGCAACACTATGTTTGAGTGGTGCAACACTGTTTCAGCTCAAAATCCATCTTGTTTATGTAAATTTGCCCTCACTTTGAAATGACTGAATGAACACTTACTAGCAATGAATTCTTCATTACAATCCTTCATTTGCTGCACATGCAGCTTTTAAATTACTGATAAGGCTTCAGGCCTTTTCTTGCACTAAAGTAAGGCTAATCCAATTAAGAACTGTATGCACTTGTTCCAACTAGAAATTAAAATGCTACACCAAGAAAATATTCATAATGCAAATGAAAGCAGAAAAGGAAGAACAGAGGAACAAAAATAACATGAAACATAAACGCAGTCCCTGGTTATGAATGAGATCCACTCCTGTATGTCTTTAAGAATCTGTAGGTCAGACAAACACTGGTTTGTGTCTTTGGACTTAAGAGAGTGGGACATCTGGCTTCTGAGCGGTTACCTTCATATCAGGCACACCAAGATAGTGAGTTCAAAATGGGTGATGTGGAGAAAAGCAAAATTTTTGTTCAGAAGTATGCCCAGTGCCACACTGTGGAAAAAGGGAGACAAATGTAAGACTAGGACAAATCTGCATGGTTGGTTTGGGCAGAATACTGCTAAAGCCCCTGGGTTCTCTTACAAAAATGCCAGCTCTGCTGTGTTTATCCCACCTTGAGTTTGTTGAGTATCCTGGATGTGTAGATTAATGTTTTCCATCAAATTTGGAAAGCTTCAGCCATTATTATTTGAGTATTTTGTCTGCTTCTTTCTCTCCTTTAGGTATGTTCATTACATGTATTTCAATATACCTGGTATCAGGTCTCTGAGTCCTGTTATTTTTCCTTCTGTCTTTTTTCTCTGTTCATTAGACTACACAATCATTATTCACCTATCTTCAAGTTTTTTAATTCTTTCTTCTGTCAGTTTAAATTTGTTGAGCGCCTCAAGTAGATTTTTCATTTCAGATATTATACTTTTCAATCCAGAATTTCCATCTGGTTCTTTTCTATAATTTCTACTTCTATAGTGATATTTTCTATTTGATGAGCCAATGTCATCATACCTTCCTTTACTTCCTTGTTTTTATTTCTTTGGACATATCTATCTATAGTAGCTGCCTTATAGGCTTTGTGTGCTAAGTCCACATTTGAACTCTTTCAAAAGCAGTTTCTGTTGTCTGCTTTTCATCTTGTATATGGGTCACATTTTCCTGTTTATGTCTCATAATATTTTATTGAAAACTGGACATTTTAGATAATATATTATAGCAACTATAGATACAAATTTCCCCACAACCCATGGCTTGGTGCTATTGTTTCATTGTTCATTTTTTCAGTGAGTTGGCTAGATTATTTTAGTGAAGTCTATTTCCTCTACAGTGTACAGATTCTCATGTCCCTCTTTAAAGGTTGCAGCCTTGGGCATTTGCACAGTGACTCAGGATGACAGTGATTTTAATTTTAGCAGGGCTCTCTTTCACTGTCTCTTTCCCGGATCTCTGTGTTAAGCTGTTAGCCTCCACTAATTGCTGGCTAATTGTTTATGGTTTTTGACATTTCCCTGGGGTAGAAAGTGGTCCACATTTTTGACTTGCCTCTGACCCTGGGCAAAACCTCTGTGTCACTGCTCCAGAGCAGGGCTGAGGACAGTTATCTATAGCTTTTGATCTTCTTGGCTTGCCTCTCCTAACATGAAATTTTTGCCTATGAGCAAGCTGGGTCGAGGATAACAAAGTTCCCAGTATGTTTAGCTTGCTGTGCCTATAATAAAGCTTCCACCATGCAAGTGGCTATTCTTACCTGGAATAGAGCTTCTGCAACAGAGCTGGGGTATTGAGAAATTCTAGTGGCCTGTCCTTCCTGGGGACATACCATATCCTCAACCAGGAGCTGAGGGTAGGGTGGAGAAGCCCTGTGTTCTTGCTGCATATGCCCAGAAGTCTCCCTTCTTCTCAGTTGGAGGAAGAGGAAGGGAAGCAGCAAATTGTAGCTTAAAAGCCACAGACTGTTACTGAGGTTTTATATATTTTCTCGAATAATTTTTTTTTTTCAAATAGTTGTATGTTTTAAGGAAAATTTCCAGAGCCTTAAAATGGTTGTTTTCTCTATAATTTTTATTGTTGTTGTTGTTATGTGCTTTTATTAGTTATGATTATTTTGCTGGGGGGGGGGGAGTCCATGGAGCTCCTTATGCTATCATTACTGAAGCTGTCTCTCAATCACATTAGTTATTGATCTCTTCATCAACTTACAGCAGAGGTTGGCAAGATATGTACCATAAGTCACCCTACCACCTATATTGTACATTAAATTTTATTGGAACATAACCACATCCATTTGCTTATATATTGTCTATGGCTTTGTCTGGGAGCTCTGGTAGCATAGTGCCTAAGGCACTTGACTGCTAACCAGAAGGCTGGCGGTTCAAACCCACCAGCCACTCCTCGGAAGGAAG